GTTAACTGTTAAGGGCTTCACCTATGCTGCTGAGTGCCGATTGTCGAAGAATCGTCGGTTCCCAGCGGTCGCAGACTCCCCGTCTAGGGCACGAACTGTCGAACAGGGACGGAGGCTTAAGCGAGCAGCAGTAGCAACTGGTTCAGCCGTTCTTCTTGAAGGAGTGGGTAATCGGTTCCCAGCGGTCGCAGACTCCCCGTCTAGGGCACGAACTGTCGAACAGGGACGGAGGCTTAAGCGAGCAGCAGTAGCAACTGGTTCAGCCGTTCTTCTTGAAGGAGTGGGTAATGGGTATTTCAAACGTGAGGAAGAGAGGAGCATCCGGGCGGCAAGTGGACAGAGAGAAACGGTCGGCGACGGGCGGCAGTGGACAGAGAGAGAAGAAGAGAGTGAATTTTTGAAATTAATTAGGGATTGAAGTATGAATTAAATGGACAGAGAGAGAGGAAGAGAGTGAATGTTTGAAATTAAGTAGGGATTGAAGTATGAATTAATTTTTGAAATATTATTAATATTAATTAAATATAAAAAATCTGTATGTGTATAAAAAATATCTGATTTTTGAAACTTAAACTTTCAAATCTGATTTTAGAAATTGGATCTCCAAAAGTAGGGCTCCATGTAATTTCCACTAAAGTATAACTTACATATAAATATGTTTACATAATTAATATTCATAATTATGCTACAACTATCTATATTTATAATTTATTATCATATTAATTAGTATTCCCATTATATTTTATTGATGTAAATTTTAAATTTTATTATATAGGAGTTAATATAATTGAAACTTAAAAGGCATTTTCTATTCCAATATTTTTAATTCTACAAGTGAATATCATAATATATTATACACCTGAAAATTTTACTCTAATTTATATACTCTCGTATTTATATGAATATTTTTTATTGTGTTTAGTGGAAAAGAAGAACTCGTTTGAGTTCTTTATATGAATATATCATGAATTTTTTTAAAAAATTAAAAAAATCGTGAGTTGCCTCGGCTCGGCTCGATTAGGTGTATCCCGAGCCAAAAGCTGAGTCAAGCCTCCAAATTTTGGCTAGCTTTGGTTGGCTCGGCTCGGGTTTAAAAAAAAACTCGAGCTTTTTTTATTAGGTCGCTCATGAGCCAGAGTTTCGGCTCGCGAGCCGACTCGATCAGACTTGTTGACATTCCTAGATTTCACCATGTAACTAGGTAGTTTTGTCTCGATTCTTGTTTTATTGGTCAAGCCAACAATTTGATCTTTTGGTTATAATAATGATCTCAAGAGCAGTGTTAAAAATGCGTAAAATGTGGTTAGGTGTGAAGACCAAATTTTAAAATTTACGAGCCTAGGCAAAATTCTAAAAATTATTTAATAATTAAAATAATACATACTAATCATCTAAAATTATAAAATACTATCTTTACTTAATAATTTATACATTTAGTCAATTATACTTTTTTCAAATTTTCAAAATGCAAAAGTTAGACTATCTTTCGTAGTTTTAGTTTTCAAATAAACAAGTTCTATTTAACAGATTTATAAGAATTTCATATACACTTTCGGAATTTTCAACGAAACGATAAATTTTAAAATCATAATTATATAATAAAGAAAGTACCATAGTTTAAATCTTATTTAAATTGTTATTAGATAAAGTTATTTTGTTTTTTACTTTTGTATAGATGAAGTCATTTAAAATTTTGAAATTGAAATCAAATAAAAGCCTTTTAAAAAAAGAAAAAATTAAAAAGTTGATAAATTAAAGCCAAATAAAAGGTTTTTGAAAACAAAAAAAGGAATAAAAAAATGGAAATTAATAAAGCGCGTCTAGGCGTTAACTTAGCAATTGACAAGCTTATTGTCAAGGCAAAACATTTTATATTTTATCTGCGCCTGGCATATAGGTGCCGCCTAAGTGCGATTTTAAGAACATTGTTCAAGTTTAACTATAATGCTTAAATTACCCATTTGTTATTCAAGAAAATATTAGCTAAAAGATGAAAAAATAAATAACTTCCATTCAACAGTCAATTACTGAAATTTGCCATTGGTGCGTTTGATTGCATGAGTGAAAAATAGGTGGAAAGAAAATATTTTACATGGAAAATATTTGTTTATAAAATGTTTTGCAGGGAAAATGATTTCAAGTGTGTTTGATTGGTATAATTTTTCACCCGAAAATTTTTTAAAATTTTGGATCTTTTTGTTTACATTTGACTTTATTTTACATGAAAATTGTTCATTAAAATAATTTTTTTTTTTAAAATTGGTTTTGAAATTTGTTACAATTGTCAAAAAGTCAAAAAAAA